TTGGGCAGTGTGATGTATCCAAAGGTTGCAATAAAAGAATGCTCTGTCTTCTACTGGGATTACAGAGAGAACTTCTGGAGAATTAGAGAGCCACTTTCTTGCATGCATGCCTGCCTTGTTCCATAGAGCTGCAAGCTGATGATACAGTTGGATTCCCTTTTCGTCATCTTGTACTGAATCAATGCTGTCATCCATGTAGGTTGACTTGAGTGCAGTTTCTGAAGCCATCGGATATTCTGATCTGTACAACTGAGCATGCTTTTGAATCACAAACTGTGCTTGAAACGGTGAACTTGTTATACCAAACACCACTCGGCTGAATTCATACTCCTCTGGATCTCTGTCCTGGTCACATCTTCTCCAAAGAAATCGATGATACACACGGTCAGCTTCTGGAATCTGAATCCTCAAATACATCTCAGCAATGTCACAGACAACAGCGACGGGATGACATCTAAAGCGTAGCAAAACATCAAACAATTCTCGTTGCAGCTTCGGGCCTGAATGTATCATGTCATTCAAGGATGTCCCTTCATACTTTGCTGAAGCATCAAAGACGATTCTGATCTTGGTGGTCGCTTTGTTGGGTTTCAATATAGCAAAATGAGGAAGATACCACTTGCTGTCAGGTTGCTTCTCAGAGACTGGAACCTTTCGTATGTATCCTTTGTCCAAATATTGATCAATGACTTCATCGTATGCCTTCATCACATCTGGGTTCTTGAGCAAACGTTTCTCGGTGTTCTGAAGTCTTTTCATTGCCATTTTGTGATTGTTCACCATTCTATAACTATCTTCTTTCCATGGTACTCCAACTTCATATCGACCATCAATGAACCTGAAAGAATTCTCAGCTTTTTCCAATGCAGCCTTCTCATCAGGACTCACCACTGTTGTCTGGGTGAACGTTCCAGCTGACTCGATATCCCAAAACTTCTTCATTGTTGAGTTGATTTCATCGACATCAGATCTGCTTGTAGTAAACAAAGTCGTCTTGCTGAAATGGGTATCAGGGATCTTCTTGCCTTCTGGACATCCTACGCATGTCCACCCCAATGGCGTTCGTCTGGCAATGGGCTCTCCTTCTTGTCCCCTGACTTCTTCGTAAGAATAGTGCATGTCAAGGTAGTCAATACCAATCAGCAAATCCACGATAGGTCTCAAACCGGTGTCTGGAAAATCAATGTGCTTCAAATGAGGCCATTTGTCTGCTAGATGTGACCATTGGATGACCTTCATGTTTCCAGTTACTCTCTTTGCAGTAAGTGCTTTTACTCTGATGTCAACATCACCACTTACACTTTCAAGTCCAAACTCGACAGGCATGGTTTGAAAAGACTTGCAATCTCCATTCAAAACATTGACCTTTATTGTTTCAAAGGTACCATTGAGTCCCAGTTCTGCTGCAACATCTTCATTCACATACGTTTGAGTGCTGGCATCATCAAGAAGTGCGTTCAATTTCAATCTTCGACAGCCATTTTTCAAAACAACCGGAATGGTTCTCAATGCTGTTGCTCCTTTGACATCTGATTTTGAGCACACCATCGTTGTTTGTGTTGCAAAATTCCTCTGCAAACGCTCCCCCTCCGTGACTGACGATGACAACTGTTGCTGACTGCTACTGCTGACTGATTGCTGATTGAAGGCTTCTGGTGTCCTTGTTTTATTGCTGTTTTGCTTTCCAGTGATCCTGTTACCCATGCTATGCAGCAACTTGTTGTGTGTTTCCTGACATCCACGAATACCACACACTCTACTTCGAGTACATTTACTACCACTGTGGTCATCACCAAGGCACCGAAAACACAATTTGAAATGCTTTGCCACATTCCATCGCTGTCGAATGTCCATGTTTCGAAAAGCATCACATGCCCATACACCATGTCTACCATTGCACACTTTGCACAGTCGCTGCTTACCGTATTTCCCACCAGTGACACCTGATCTACCAACTTGAAAACGATTCACTTGTGTTAATTCTTCAGTAGCACCAAAGAATGTGGTTTTCTTCTCTCCTGCTAAGTTTCTTGATCTACTGTTTCTTCTTTCGCTTGATACACCATGCACTGTCTCTCTTGCAACTGTGTAGAATTCAGACTCTTGAATCACCCACATCTTCAGTGTTTCAACGCATTCTCTTCTTCGATTCTCAAAGATCCATCGATTGTACTGCGTCAGCAGTGTTTCTGGAAGTTTCTTCAGTAGCTTGATGTAGAGAGATCCATTTCCCAATTCATCGTGACGTCCACTCTCCAGTAGATTCACCACCAGAACATCAAGTAGATCTGCAAACTTCTCTATGTCTTTTGAACATCCATCTCTCACTGGTTTGAAATTATCCATGTCCTCCAAGTGAATTGCGATTTCCCTCCTCTTGCCACCAAATTTTCGCTCTAACCTGTCCTTTGCAGCTTCATATGCAGCTCCAGAAAAGCCAAGATTCTCGATCGCTTCCAGTGCAACGCCAGATAGATATTGCCTCAACTGCAGCAGCTTGTATTCAGGAGTCGCAGGAGCTCTGTCAATGCAAGCCAGAAATGCAGCTTTCCAGTTCTCATACTTTCGCTTGTCACCAGAGAAAACGGGAATCGCAACACGCTGCAGCTGTCGCCACATGTCCTGACCAAGTGACTCTTCGTGTGAATATCGCTCAGATCGTCTGTGATCACCACCAAATCTGACTGACTGTTGCAGTTGCTGTGAATGTTCCTCCGGGGTCATTGGAAACTGACTTCTTTTCGCGCCAACACCGACATTGGTTGACTTGTGCTGAAGCTCTTGTCGCTCAGAATTGTTGTGAAATTGAGAAGAATCAAATTTCGCTTCCTGAAATGGCAAATAAGTCTCTTGATTAAATCTAGGTGCTCCAAGGCTTACCTTTCGATCCTCTCGTGGGTTGTAAGATCCCGCTGTCTTACTTGATTCTGAATCTCTTCGTTCATCCAGATACTCCTGTACTCTGTTGTGGGTCTCTTCGAATTCTTGCACCAATTGCTCCATTTCCTGAGTAACTTTTTGTCTTGCTGTTCCGTTCTTCTGCCATTGATAGTGCTCTGACAGTGCGATCATGATCTTCAGTGCCCTTTCTTGTGTGCTGTCCAATTTCGTTTGCCCATCTCGAACCTGATGTCTGTTTGGTAGATCCATTTCTTCCACCAGTTCCAACAACTGCTTTCTTGCACGTGTGAACGCCGACTTTGCTTTTGCTTTTTCTTGCTTCAAGCTTTCCAATTTTTCTTCCAAATCTTCCACGTCTTCCCCTCTTCCGATTCCATCTTCTGTCCTTCCTTCTTCACCTGCGTTTGAAGTCATGCTTCTCGTCAATTGGCCTTCCTCTGTCCAAGTTTGTCCACGGCAAAAACTACCCTCTGCTACCAAATGTTTGAAAGACCGTCCGCGACTTTTGATCCTTAAGCCCGAAGGCTAAAAACTAACTAACTAACTACGAATACGAACCTAATTTATACTATTAACGACGTAAACAACTTTAAAATATTGTCACTAGTTTGATTGTCCATTACGCAAGGGATTAACAAATACTGTCCTCTAAAAACACATTAACACTCTCTACTAACCAACCATTGTCCAATTTAACGCAAAACAACTTGCTCAAACAACTATTGTGTACAGACGCGTAAAAGTTATTGTTCCAATCAACAATTACAAGAATGAAAGTATCACATGTCTGTCTTCTGAACATTCTCCCCCTCCTTGACAGCTATGCATGTCAACTGAAAATCCTTCATCTTGTGATATCTGCAACGTCACATCAAGAAAAATACATCCATTAACAAATGCCACCAGCAACCATTCAACAATGCTCCAAAAGGCATAATTTTGTCACTGGTCTCTGCAATAGCTTTTTTCCCAGTTGTACTTGTGCCACTCTCACTTTTCCATCTTTTCCAGGAAATACTTGGGTGACTTTTGCAAGGGGCCAATGAGCTCTGGGGCTATCAGGCGATATAACAATAACAATATCCCCTACCTTCAAATTTTTCTTCTCTTTGTGCCATTTTGTCGTTGGATTTAGTCCTGGTAGCCATTCTTTCAACCAACGTTGCCAGAAGTGCTTCACCAGTTCTTGAACACGTCGCCATCGTTTCCTTGGACTGAACGTTGTCTGGTCTTCCGTTTCTGGTGCAAATCTGCCTCCCATTTGGCCATGGAGAAAGTGATTCGGGGTCAAAGGCACATCATCATCCACATTTGCTGTCTGGTATGTCAGCGGTCTTGAATTCAGCAACGATTCTGCTCCTGTGATGGCAGTCATCAACTCTTCATCGGACACATTTGCATCTGTCAGGATTCCTTTCAACGCACGTTTTGCTGCCTTGATCATAATTTCATGAGCTCCTCCAAAATGTGGTGACAAAGGAGGATTGAAATGCCATTTGATACCACGATTTGCAGCACTCTGGATGATTCGATTCTGGTCCAATCTTTTAACGAGCTCCTGTAGCTCCTTGTCAGCTGCTACGAAATTGCCACCATTGTCAGAAACAACTTCTTCAGGCTTCCCACGACGACTCACCATTCGATAAAAGGCATTCAAGAATGAATCAGTATCCAGGGCAAATGCCATTTCCAAGTGTACTGCTCTGGTAGCTAGGCATGTGAAAAGACAAAGATATCGTTTTTCTCTTCGCTTACCTCTCCCTTGCATGGTGATGAATGGTCCTCCATAATCTACAGCTACTCTTTCAAAGGCTCGCAATGACATTGCCAATCTAATGCTTGGTAGGGGTGCCATGATCTGACTGCATGCTCTCGCCTTTCGTCTTTTGCACCAGTTGCATTCGTTTTCCCATTCTCTTATCTCTTCTCTTGCTGAAATTATCCAAAAACGACTCGAAATAGCTGCCAATGTCTGATTTGTGCCACCTGCATGATGATCCTTTTCATGATAGAATTTCACGATCAGCTTTGTAACCCAGTTCTTCCTTGGTAGAATAATAGGATATTTTGCATCGTATGGCAGGAAGTCAGCATACCTCAATCTTCCATTACACCGTAGAAGTCCATCTTCATCGATTCGTGGCTGTAACACAATCAATTTGCTGTCACTCTTCATTTGCTTTCCTTTCAACAGTTGCTGGTATTCGGTTGCAAATGCATTTTGCTGCACGTCTCGAATGATATGAATTTCTGCATCTTTGATCTCTTCATATGTCAATTCTCCATTAATTCTTTCTTTTTTTTGCTGTTCGACAGTTGTCCAAGAAACGGCAAACCCATGCTACAAGTCTTGTAAGTCGAAGCCAGCTTGAAAAATGAGAAGGATCCAAATACCAAGAATTCTCCTTACCCGCTTTCATCAGTTTACTTGGTTCCACTTGTTCACCAGTCGTAGATTTCTTTTTGCTAACTGCATCAGCAAACAATGATTGTTTCTCTTCATGATTTTCTGTTACGGACTTCATCTTTGAACGACCAGACTTCTTCTGCTCCGATACTGCTTCCATTGACATCTCAAATTGATTATTAGGCCATTCATCCTCAGCCATTTCCAAGAATTCTGGTCCTTTCCACCATTGCTCACTGTTTGCCAACGCAGATGCTACCATCTCTCTTGTCAAGTGATCAGCAGGATTATCCTTCGTGGGAACATATCTCCATTGCTCAGGGTTTGTCATGTTTTGAATCTCACCAACACGATTTGCAACAAATGGCTTGAAACATCTGCTATGTCCTCTGATCCACCAAAGTGTGTTCATGCTGTCACACCAGAATTTGACTTGCTTCACTGACACTTGCATTGCATTCGCTACCGATACCGCCAATCGAAGTCCTGTGACTGCTCCCATTAGTTCCATCCTTGGAATGCTCATAGCTGCCAGTGGTGCAACACGTGACTTTGCTGCGACAATATTAGTAGTAGCTGCATGATCAACGTAGACATACCTTGCATAAATAACAGCTCCATAAGCTTCTTCTGATGCATCACTGAAAACGTGTAATTGCATTGATTGAACATCTTTATGCTTGCCAGTGTGAAGACATCTTGGCACTGAAAGATTTGACAACTCGTGAAGTTCACTGTACCAACTCTGAATCTTTGACTTGACTTCGCCATCGAGCTCATCATCCCAATAAAAGCCTTGTCGCCAGATTTCCTGCATTACCACTTTTGCTCTAACGATGAATGGTGCCAAGAAACCAAGAGGGTCAAACAATGATGCAATGGTTCTCAGAAACGATCTCTTTGTGATGATTTGATTTTCTTCAGGTGGGCTTGAGTGAAAACTGAAAATATCCTCCTTTGCTCGCCAAAGTATTCCAAGGGTCTTTACAGTTGGAAGCTCTCCATTGTCCAAATCAATTTCAGATGCTCTGTCTTCTACTGGGATTACAGAGAGAACTTCTGGAGAATTAGAGAGCCACTTTCTTGCATGCATGCCTGCCTTGTTCCATAGAGCTGCAAGCTGATGATACAGTTGGATTCCCTTTTCGTCATCTTGTACTGAATCAATGCTGTCATCCATGTAGGTTGACTTGAGTGCAGTTTCTGAAGCCATCGGATATTCTGATCTGTACAACTGAGCATGCTTTTGAATCACAAACTGTGCTTGAAACGGTGAACTTGTTATACCAAACACCACTCGGCTGAATTCATACTCCTCTGGATCTCTGTCCTGGTCACAACTTCTCCAAAGAAATCGATGATACACACGGTCAGCTTCTGGAATCTGAATCCTCAAATACATCTCAGCAATGTCACAGACAACAGCGACGGGATGACATCTAAAGCGTAGCAAAACATCAAACAATTCTCGTTGCAGCTTCGGGCCTGAATGTATCATGTCATTCAAGGATGTCCCTTCATACTTTGCTGAAGCATCAAAGACGATTCTGATCTTGGTGGTCGCTTTGTTGGGTTTCAATATAGCAAAATGAGGAAGATACCACTTGCTGTCAGGTTGCTTCTCAGAGACTGGAATCTTTCGTATGTATCCTTTGTCCAAATATTGATCAATGACTTCATCGTATGCCTTCATCACATCTGGGTTCTTGAGCAAACGTTTCTCGGTGTTCTGAAGTCTTTTCATTGCCATTTTGTGATTGTTCACCATTCTATAACTATCTTCTTTCCATGGTACTCCAACTTCATATCGACCATCAATGAACCTGAAAGAATTCTCAGCTTTTTCCAATGCAGCCTTCTCATCAGGACTCACCACTGTTGTCTGGGTGAACGTTCCAGCTGAGTCGATATCCCAAAACTTCTTCATTGTTGAGTTGATTTCATCGACATCAGATCTGCTTGTAGTAAACAAAGTCGTCTTGCTGAAATGGGTATCAGGGATCTTCTTGCCTTCTGGACATCCTACGCATGTCCACCCCAATGGCGTTCGTCTGGCAATGGGCTCTCCTTCTTGTCCCCTGACTTCTTCGTAAGAATAGTGCATGTCAAGGTAGTCAATACCAATCAGCAAATCCACGATAGGTCTCAAACCGGTGTCTGGAAAATCAATGTGCTTCAAATGAGGCCATTTGTCTGCTAGATGTGACCATTGGATGACCTTCATGTTTCCAGTTACTCTCTTTGCAGTAAGTGCTTTTACTCTGATGTCAACATCACCACTTACACTTTCAAGTCCAAACTCGACAGGCATGGTTTGAAAAGACTTGCAATCTCCATTCAAAACATTGACCTTTATTGTTTCAAAGGTACCATTGAGACCCAGTTCTGCTGCAACATCTTCATTCACATACGTTTGAGTGCTGGCATCATCAAGAAGTGCGTTCAATTTCAATCTTCGACAGCCATTTTTCAAAACAACCGGAATGGTTCTCAATGCTGTTGCTCCTTTGACATCTGATTTTGAGCACACCATCGTTGTTTGTGTTGCAAAATTCCTCTGCAAACGCTCCCCCTCCGTGACTGACGATGACAACTGTTGCTGACTGCTACTGCTGACTGATTGCTGATTGAAGGCTTCTGGTGTCCTTGTTTTATTGCTGTTTTGCTTTCCAGTGATCCTGTTACCCATGCTATGCAGCAACTTGTTGTGTGTTTCCTGACATCCACGAATACCACACACTCTACTTCGAGTACATTTACTACCACTGTGGTCATCACCAAGGCACCGAAAACACAATTTGAAATGCTTTGCCACATTCCATCGCTGTCGAATGTCCATGTTTCGAAAAGCATCACATGCCCATACACCATGTCTACCATTGCACACTTTGCACAGTCGCTGCTTACCGTATTTCCCACCAGTGACACCTGATCTACCAACTTGAAAACGATTCACTTGTGTTAATTCTTCAGTAGCACCAAAGAATGTGGTTTTCTTCTCTCCTGCTAAGTTTCTTGATCTACTGTTTCTTCTTTCGCTTGATACACCATGCACTGTCTCTCTTGCAACTGTGTAGAATTCAGACTCTTGAATCACCCACATCTTCAGTGTTTCAACGCATTCTCTTCTTCGATTCTCAAAGATCCATCGATTGTACTGCGTCAGCAGTGTTTCTGGAAGTTTCTTCAGTAGCTTGATGTAGAGAGATCCATTTCCCAATTCATCGTGACGTCCACTCTCCAGTAGATTCACCACCAGAACATCAAGTAGATCTGCAAACTTCTCTATGTCTTTTGAACATCCATCTCTCACTGGTTTGAAATTATCCATGTCCTCCAAGTGAATTGCGATTTCCCTCCTCTTGCCACCAAATTTTCGCTCTAACCTGTCCTTTGCAGCTTCATATGCAGCTCCAGAAAAGCCAAGATTCTCGATCGCTTCCAGTGCAACGCCAGATAGATATTGCCTCAACTGCAGCAGCTTGTATTCAGGAGTCGCAGGAGCTCTGTCAATGCAAGCCAGAAATGCAGCTTTCCAGTTCTCATACTTTCGCTTGTCACCAGAGAAAACGGGAATCGCAACACGCTGCAGCTGTCGCCACATGTCCTGACCAAGTGACTCTTCGTGTGAATATCGCTCAGATCGTCTGTGATCACCACCAAATCTGACTGACTGTTGCAGTTGCTGTGAATGTTCCTCCGGGGTCATTGGAAACTGACTTCTTTTCGCGCCAACACCGACATTGGTTGACTTGTGCTGAAGCTCTTGTCGCTCAGAATTGTTGTGAAATTGAGAAGAATCAAATTTCGCTTCCTGAAATGGCAAATAAGTCTCTTGATTAAATCTAGGTGCTCCCAGGCTTACCTTTCGATCCTCTCGTGGGTTGTAAGATCCCGCTGTCTTACTTGATTCTGAATCTCTTCGTTCATCCAGATACTCCTGTACTCTGTTGTGGGTCTCTTCGAATTCTTGCACCAATTGCTCCATTTCCTGAGTAACTTTTTGTCTTGCTGTTCCGTTCTTCTGCCATTGATAGTGCTCTGACAGTGCGATCATGATCTTCAGTGCCCTTTCTTGTGTGCTGTCCAATTTCGTTTGCCCATCTCGAACCTGATGTCTGTTTGGTAGATCCATTTCTTCCACCAGTTCCAACAACTGCTTTCTTGCACGTGTGAACGCCGACTTTGCTTTTGCTTTTTCTTGCTTCAAGCTTTCCAATTTTTCTTCCAAATCTTCCACGTCTTCCCCTCTTCCGATTCCATCTTCTGTCCTTCCTTCTTCACCTGCGTTTGAAGTCATGCTTCTCGTCAATTGGCCTTCCTCTGTCCAAGTTTGTCCACGGCAAAACTACCCTCTGCTACCAAATGTTTGAAAGACCGTCCGCGACTTTTGATCCTTAAGCCCGAAGGCTAAAAACTAACTAACTAACTACGAATACGAACCTAATTTATACTATTAACGACGTAAACAACTTTAAAATATTGTCACTAGTTTGATTGTCCATTACGCAAGGGATTAACAAATACTGTCCTCTAAAAACACATTAACACTCTCTACCAACCAACCATTGTCCAATTTAACGCAAAACAACTTGCTCAAACAACTATTGTGTCCAGACGCGTAAAAGTTATTGTTCCAATCAACAATTACAAGAATGAAAGTATCACATGTCTGTCTTCTGAACACTCCACTATCCCCTGTTGAAACAACATTTTTTGGTCGCAATTCACAGAAATTTGAAAATCCAATCGATACTTGATTTTCTTCTTTGAATTTCAAATATGCTTCTTCTAAAGTGCACAAGATCAACCTCTTTTGAACCGTTTCCTTCACACCATGTACCCTAATCGATATACAATTTTTTTTACCAAACATTGATTTACTACTACTACTACTGCTTACTTCAGCACTGGCATAAAAACCTCTAACAAATTGAATAACATCATTGTGTATTGTGATCTGGCTTTGTTACTTCTGAATTATCTAGGAAGAAATACAAGTGAATACTATAAGGATTACAAATATTGTCATTTTAATTGACAATAAAAATTAATGTGCTTGATGTGAATGAAAAATCTGTGAAGTAGTTTCTCACCTTTCTTTGAATGCTCTTAAGCCT